CCTTTAAGATTATCTCACTAGATGGGCAAAGACCTTGAAAAGGTTTTATGTTTTCTTGTTGACATCATGACCTTTGTGTTCTGATAGATTCATTTGCAAGATATTGGTGAATTTAAATCTTAGTTTCACATCATTTACTCACTGAACTATAAATGAATAAGAGCCTGACGTGCAGAAATAGAGAAACACATAATCTCAGCTAAATTAATCCAAGCAGAGAGAATCAACGGCTGCTTCCTCCAAATGCCTCCTGCTCTCAGACAGGAAATGAAGCCAGACGGGGCCGCGTTAGGCGGCTGTTTACCCGGCAGCAGCAGAAGCCATGTTCTTGGATCAGCGTCAACTTTTCACCCAAAATGGCTTTTATTAGGACAAGGCTATGGGCAGACTTATCCAGAATCAGCCCCTTTCAGCTGCCAGAGAATCATCAGCAGGATTCACAGATGGAACAAATAATGTATAGATTCATATATTCCTCATATTTAGTGATTCTTTGTGATTAATAGGCAAGAGTGCAAAAAAAAAGAGCTTATGCGTTGGTGCAAATGCATTTTTTAATATTTTTCGTCAAACGATACAGATGTTTTACTAATATTTTAAATATTTCTGGAGCTATAGTGCTCTAAGTTTTTTGATAGGTTTTCTCTTGACATTCGGGTCTTTGTAATAAACTAAAAGGATGTGTTGTTCAAAAATACCAAAGCAAGTCAGCAGGCATGTTCAACCCAGAACTGAGACCCTTTTTCCCACCTAAGACCAATGCACAAAAAGCCAATGATGTACATGGGACTGATCTGTTGCTGTAATGCCCCTGAGCTGCCTGTAGAGGCCATCAGAGAGCTGAAGAATCAGTGTATTTCAGTATGCTAGCGTTGTAGTAGTTCGGGAAAGAATGTATAGATGATGTATGATATGTGTAGCAACAGAGCGATGTGATTTAAAGGCTTAAAAAAATAATGATCTGATGATCTGCTGGGATTTTCAAGCACTAGTATCTCTCATCCTTGCAGAATGGTCTGTTAAAGATGGCAAATCCATTGAAAGGAAGTTAGTTTGTCCTTTTTTGACAACAGGCTCACCATAATTGGACAATATCAGTGGGACCCTTTGCTTGGTCTGATGAGTTTCTGTTTTAGTTGCCACTTCCATTTGGTAGGGTCAGAATCTTTGTGAACCTGATGGTGTGGATCCATCTTGCCCTGTATCAAGGGTTCATGCCGCTGCTGCTGGTGCTGTAATGGTGTGCAGGTAATGCACCTTCAGGAAGTGTTGGAATGGGAAATTCATATCATGGATTTTCAGCTACCAAATCTGTGCCAATTGCATGATGCTATGTTGAATGTTTCTGAAATGTTATTAAATACAACACAAAGAATTAAGGCAGTTTGGAAGACAAAGACGGTCCAATCAAATACCAAAAAGATCTAATAAAGTGGCTGTCAAATGCAAAGGATCAAATTAAATTGATCCTTTGTAACAAAATATAAATTGCACATTATTCAGGTATAGTGCTCTGAGATTTTTTTTTTTATTATTGAATTAACACCGCATAAAAACAGGAATAAATTCAGTTTTAGACATTTTTTGAGTTTACCCTTGACTATTGAAGGTAACTTCTCAAAAGCTCAGAAAAAAGGCACCAACATTTTAGAGAATCTAGAGGACAGGGTTGAAAAAGTCATGTAGGCTTTTATCAACTACTTGCTAAGTGGAGGTCTAAAAAATTTTCTTTTCTGCTTTGCTTGTTCTCTTTGCCGTGTACTCACTGGTAAAAATGACTTTTTCTGCTTCTGGATATCTTGACTACTCAGTGCAGACTGGTAATCAATCAAGGACTTATAAACAAAAGTCACATGGACCCAAAATGCACCCAAATGTTTAGTATAGAGGGTTTTGGTAAACTGTGATGATGTGCCAAAGAAGACATATTGAATCTTTTTCTACAAAAAAAGGCTCCGGTTTCAAAGTTTACACCAACACTTTTCTCTGCTAAATAAACAGCGGCCAGACGTTCTTTAGAAAAATGTATTGAAAACCTTCCATAAGCTAATTATTAATCAAACATTTGAAAAGTGTATGTAAGTATGAGGGGGAAAAAGTAAGAAATCAAACAAGAATCAGTTTTACATGGTTACTGCTGAGGATGAAGAATCATGATGGTTGCATGTCACTATGCAGTTAAATAAAACCTCTACTTTGGATAAAACTGCATCCAATTGAAATTATGTAATGTGGTATAAGATGCGAAGTAAAAGTGTAAACCAGGGCCAGTTTTCTGTGCTCATCAAGGAAGCCATCAGCAAAGTCCAGAAGGAGCCAAACTGAATGTAAATAACACTAAGAAGATTTTATCTCCGAGTTCAGCCGGAGTTCGAATCTGAAAACCTCCACCATTCACAAAGTTTACATGTCCACTCAATGAGTAAATGTTTTCAGCTGGACGTCTTACAAGAAGGGGTTCTCACAAAATTGCTTCACTTCATTCAGCCCTACCACTTTTCTTCATGCATTGTCAGTCAGAGGTTGGTTGGTATTTTTTAGCTGATCTGAATAATGACATGACTGACAGCAAGCAGCAGCAGCAGGTGGCAAGCAGCAAATCAGTGTCAGTTCTGCTGCTTTGACTGACATTCATGTAAAAAAAAAAAGCTTTGCATGCAGAAAAAGCCCCGGAAAATGGTTTGTACGAAAGACTTTCTGTCCTCAAGACAGTAAAGCAAGGTGAATTTGATGGAAAACCCATAGTTTCTATAGATAAATATTTGAAATATGTTCATTAAAAGCAGCTTTCTATATTTTTTGTGGTTACACATCGGGAAAAGCAGCAGAAAACTATGTGTGATGCTCCCACCACTGTTTTGGTTGATATTGTTCACCATTTACGCAGCTATTTATAAATGGTGGCACAAAGCCCGGAGCTCTGAAGTGTCTTACAAATGTTGCCACAATACATTTCTGACTAATGCCGAATGATTTCTAAGCTAACATTTGAATTTCTCCCTATTGAGGCGATATGTCCTTGCACTAAAATAAGGTTTCTCCAGTTAGCACAAATTGGAAAGAAATGTCATGATAACTAGCGAGTGCAATGATTTGGTTGAGAATGGACTTACTATTCCTGGTTCTGTGGCGTTCCGTTCAGAAAAGCAAAGATGGGCTAAAGCAGAATAGCTGCAGGCTAAAGAGCTCCATGGAAGGATTTCACATCCACTGGCACATAATGTACCAGCAGGATCCACTGGCTGATTTGGCCTTAATTAGGCTTTGTATTCCTGGTCATTTAGTACTCTCACTACACTATTTTAGGCCTAAAATAGTCTCAAATGTATGTACATTATGCATTCTTGAATCAACATTTTATTGTATGCAAGTGATCATTAATGTCTTATTGTAGATCTGAAGTGAAATTAGATTTTTTAATGTGTCAAAGAACAGAAAGAAAATCCGACCTCTGCTCTGGCAAGTTTTTCTGACTCAACACTGACACCAGGTGGATAAACTTTGTCATTGCATTTTTTTTACTTTGTTTAAGAAAAAGTTTTAAGTGCCCAACAGATTTTAAAAGCAAGTTCAACACATTGAACACAACCATAATTAAGTAGAAAACAGCAGAGAGAAAAGGGGGAGGAAACAGCCAGAGCTTCTTCTTTACTGCTGTTCTGAGATGAACTGGAACATAATGTTCATGACCTGTGGGGTAATCCCCTTCATGGACATTTCAGGCTCAGGGTGAAGCCTGGGGGACAGAATGTACAGCTTTGGTTTATGCAACTCCAAAAGCAGACCAATACCCCGAGGTTTTCATTATACCAAGAACTTGTTGAAAAAATATCTATGAATTTCCTGTTTCTAACAATAAATCGACAACTGCCTTTAACGTATAAAATAAATGTAAGTGCAGCATTATGATAATTTCTAATTTATTTTATTTTATTTTTTAAGTTGATCAGAGTGTCCTGGACTGATCTGTAAATACTCTGTTTTTCTGTAACATAAATATGATCCATTTTTCTTAATATATCTTTCCTAATGGGAGAGACAAGAAAACCAATCATACAAACAAGGCGGATGTATGTTAATTTATTTTACAGTATAAGAAAATAAATATTATACTAAATGTCCATAACAACCATTAGATGCTACATGCTAACTGGTAAAGAGGCATTTTTTATGTCCTTCCATCACAAATATGCTTGCCTTCATCAGATGAGAAGAAAGTGAAGCTTTTCAGGCAACAATCACTCTATGTTGACTAGTTGTCAAAGAAAATAAGGAACATGCAGAAAAGGATTTTGCATTCACTGTTAAGTGGAAGATCTGTGATGCTGTGGGCTTGCTTTGCTTGTAGTTGTAAGGGTTTTGAACTCTGTGAACCACCAGGGCACTTCACTCTGAAGACTTCTGACAGCTTAAGATGGGTCGTTGTTGGGTCTTTCACCAGGATTATGATAATGGCTCTAAACATATGGACAAATCAGCACAGAACTGCTTCATCTGACACAAAATCGTAAAATCTCTTTCTTGGTCGTCTCATCCCATTTCCCTCTGTTGGGATCTTTTCCTCCATCATCTCCATCCTGTTTGCCTTCAGCTCTGCTGTTGCTCTCTGACATGTGGAAGCAGCACTCTGGCAGCAGATGGACTCTAATCTGCAGCTGAAGTAAAACTCCATGATGATGATGATGATGATGATGAGTGGACAACCAAACGAGTAATTAAGCTGCTGTTTCTGTTTTCCTTGTATGCCAGTGGCGTGTAAAGCAGATCAAACATCAGTGGAAACATGAAGGCGATTAAAAGGACTTAGCACACAATTTACATAATGTTTTGTTTGGTGGTGTAGTTACACTGAATTTAGTTATTTACTATTTCACTGAAACATTTAATATGTCTTAGAGTAAAAAATTTGGATGTAAAGATCCAATTTTTAAATAAATACCTACTTAATTTGTGTTTTTGTGAATAATCTTGGAATTATGTGAAGATGAAATTAAATATGTATCCTGGGATACAGACACATCTGTCAGGAACCTAATAAAAATCCAAAAATACATATTTTGTTTTCCATAGGTGGGCAGTCAGTGCCCCAGGACCCCTCGCCCACTTCCACCTGCCCTCCAGGGCCACCCGGGCCTCCGGCTGGTTCCAACGGCAGCAGCGACATCATGGTGAACTTTGACCCTGACCCGGCAGACCTGGCACTGTCCAGCGTGCCGGGGCAGGAGGCGTTTGACCCACGGCGGCATCGCTTCTCGGAGGACGAGCTGAAGCCTCAGCCGATGATCAAAAAGGCTCGCAAGATGCTGGTCCCAGACGAACAGAAGGTACTACATCTCCCACAATCCACTTCTGTCTGTTCACTGTAGCAGAGTGTTTCTTTGTTGAAACGGAGTGAGAGAAACTTGTTTAATTGTAGGTACATCAATCCAGCAAATACAAATTATGATCCACGCAAAATATAGATATATTTATAATTATATGTAATTTCATATTTACATTTTGGAGAGTTTAAATATTTTTGGTTGACTGGCTTCAAACTCTGTTGATTTAGATGCCACACTATAATTATGTGCTAAACCACACAATGAATATGTCAACATAACTCTGAATAGAGCATTTATTTCATGATTTGATCACATTTTGCAGAAAAAAAAGAGTTGACTTCCAATAATCAAATGATTTCAGGGACTTTCTTCTGATTCAAATGACATGAGACAAAAAAATAAAAATCTAAATCTAAAGTCTTAGCTTGATCATCACAAAGGTCACCGCTCTGTCCTGAAATAACTTAAAAAAAAACCCCAAAAAAACCTTAGGGAGCGTGACGTCCAGCTGGTATTAATGCCTCTTGACAAGAGCTCTAAAATATTTTGTCCTCAGCTCGTTGCACAATAGGCAAAGCTGTGATCAATTGCTCATGGTTTCACAGTTCAGCACAGAGCAGCTGCATCTCCTGAAGCGCTTATAATTTATGGAGAGATGAAGGCACTCACCTCGCCGTGTTCAGTCGCGGTTAGTTTCATCAATCATGTGTGCAGCTATGGAAAAAAAAAAAGATATTGGGTCAATCCTAAAGGTGAGTTTCATATCAGCGCAGCTCTTCACGAGCAAGATCAGCACCGCAAAACTAAAATGCCGAGTATTTGTGAATCGCATCACAAATCAAATTATTTCACATGATTTTACGCCAACAGACACAGCGGCAGGAAATGTTTTATGCTAAGTGAGGTTTAACCTTTTGAGAAAATCTCCAAAACCAAACGAACAAACAAACAAACAAATAATGAAAATATGAAAACACCACAGCTGAGGTAATGTGTGACTCTTATTCTCACAATAATTGTTGCAGAAGTGCCTTTTTCTCTGCCTGTAGTCGTGGCCTGACGATAACCAGATGTAGATCGATCTGTAAAGGAAGCAGTAATTCTTTTGGACCCACGCTGATCCGCTCATCATAAATCGTTCAGACAGAAATCTCTGGTTTGGTTTCTGTTTGACCTGTTTTTTCAGCTCTGTAGGCCCTGATGTTATTGCTCTGCCCAATAATCTCCTTCTTTGATCTTCAGTAGAAGTCAGAATTTTTCTGTGACCTTCAAACTACAGTATTGCTGCAGGATTTCTGCAGAGGGTTTATTGGTTCAACAGAGCAGCTCAGCGGGTCTGCTTTGTACAGCTGGATTGGGAATTTGCTCCGGGTTTATTGAACAATGGGTTTTTATTGTGCATCTTTTCAAAGGCATGTTTTAGAGCCTCCAGTTAATGATTAATCAGTCACTAAATTAGTTGATGATTACTTTGATAATCACCATTAATTTTCAGCCCTAGTAGTGATATTTATTCTTCCACATTTGTTCACATTTTTCTAATCTTGCCTGATGCAAGCTTCATCTTCCAGTAGTTAGGCAAGCTTCAAGAAAATGTAGATTTTCATCTATCCATCCATTTTCTTCCACCCGTTGGGGTTGGGAGAGGTGCTGGTGCCTATCTCCAGTGGTCAACGGGCGAGAGGCGGGGTACACCCTGGACAAGTCACCAGTGGTCATTGTTCCCTAACGTTCTCCATCTGAGAATAGTCTAGGATGCTGTTAACCAGAATTGGGAGGTTATTTGCGATATATTGCGCAGCTCCACAAAAAAACTAGTCTTACTTTGTAGCGTTTCTTCTGTTCTTGTGTGCTGTCGTAGCTTTAAATGTTCTCCAGTTGTAAGCATTGAGCTGTTGTTGCCTTTTTTCCTTTCCTGCCATCTTTCTACTCATCACATGACTGACCCTTGTCATCCCGCTCTCTCCTCTTTTTCTTTTCTGTCCTCCTTTCACCTTTTCTCCCCCACACACCCCAACATACCACACCGGCGCCGCCGACAGGACGAGAAGTACTGGAGCAGGCGTTTGAAAAACAACGAGGCGGCCAAGCGCTCGCGAGACGCACGGCGGCTGAAGGAGAACCAGATCTCGGTGCGCGCCGCCTTCCTGGAGCGGGAGAACGCCGCCCTCCGGCAGGAAGTGGCCGACATGAGGAAGGAGCTCGGCCGCTGCAGGAACATCATCAACAAGTACGAGAGTCGGCACGGAGACTTGTGAAGGCGGAGGAGGACGACGAAAGAGGGGAAGGATCTGGAGAGGAAGACGAGATGAGAGAAGGGTACGACCCAACGACAGCAGCACTTTAGTTGAAGTGGCGAGGGGGCAAAGCCGGAGTAGATCTGCAGTAAGCGCTGTGTGACACCAGGCGCAAACATGGCCAGTTTGGTCGAGTTTTAGCAGGATGCCATGACTGAAAAGTGCAGCGATGCCACTTTCCCCCAGCTTGACTCTTCGTATTTGCTGTTTCACTGAATCCACACTCTCTACTGTACGGTCACACCGCATCCGTCCCCTCCGACGCTGTGCTTGCGCCCGGTGTTGCACTGCGTTTTTTGCAGGTAGTGCATTCTGACCTGCTGCTCTGGCCAGTTCAAACAGGGTGTTGAGTTCACAGTATGCCAGTGAAATGTCACTTTTTAAGCTCAAGGCATGGACACAAGCCAGGAGAGATCAGAAGTGTAATTGTTTTATGGGGTTTTTCTATAACTAGTACAAAAATCTTATATTTTTGAACTGGGCAGGAAGGTAGAACTAGTCCAGCAAAATGGTGGGGGAGGAGGAGGAGGAGAAAGAAGTCATGCAGGGTTTTCGTCCAGAACGCAAAGAGATTTTGACAAATAATTACTGTATATTTTTCTATTAGCAGAGATATTAAGGAGGATGATTTTAGAGACAATCTTTTGTACATTTTATATATTGGGGAAGGGGCGGGGATTTCAGCTGGACAGTCATGGGGCCACATATAACTCTTTTCCTCTCAGCTGATTATTGCTAGTAAACAAAAAGATCTATTTTCAATGTTACGGAGCGGGTTAGTCAGAGGAAGATGTGTAACAGAGAATGTATCATGGTTGAATCAGGTATTTCACACAGACAAGGCGAGGTAACTCAGTAATGATTTTTTTTTTCTTTGCAATGAAGGGAGACAGAAGCATGACCAGAGGAAGAAACAAAAACTGTATAGCTTAAAGAAACTTTAGTGTTCGTTTTTTTTCCTTGTGAGCTCGGTTTGAGCACTTGAGTTGTTTTCTTCTACTTGATTCCGTGTCCGACTTTTAATAATCACAGGGCTTTTTTTTTGTGAAGGTGAAGGAGAAAAGGAAAAAAAAATAATAACACAGGAAGTAATTAGCCATCCAAACAGCTGGATGTGAGCAGATGTTTGAGAGCAAAGAAAAAGAAAGCAGTGTTTTGCTGGCAGGTTTGCATTTAATTAGGAGAAGAGCTGCTCACGTGTGTTTTCTATTTACTCCTCAGTCATGTCCTGGTTTAGGGTTGTGACTGAAAATGTCAGCATGCAGACACAAACACACACACAGACACGCCCAGTCCTCTCCCTCATTTGAATCTTTATTGTTGTTGGTGATGTTGTTATGGACTTCTATGGTGCTGACCTGATCCTCCACCTGACAAACACACACACACACAAACAGACAATAATCATATTTACACATATGCAAACACACATCTCAAACACATTACTGAACTGCCTATATATTTTCTTTGTCTTTTATTCCTATTTTTAGTTCACATTTTCTTTCTTTTGTTGTGTAACGTAATGAAAACTCCTATATAGATTTACACACAAACACTTTGTCTATACTTCTCCTTCAAACTTTACCCAATGAGAAAGAGAAACGCACCCTACTGCTACTGTACCATACAACTGTACTATTAAATATTAAAGTATTCACTAGATATATATGTGTATACGATATATGCTTGAATTATGTGATTATAGTTGTAACATACATAATTGAATATATTACAGAAAAAAAACAAGATTTCTCTCAGGTGTTTCTTTTTTTTTGTCTGAGGTATAAAATCTGTCCAACTATGATAATAAAAGCAGACGCAAAAAAATCTTTAATCAAAAACCAGATTTTTGGGAGGGTTTATTTGAAGAAAAAGTTGTAGTCTAATGTTTAGTTGTCAGTTTAGCCCAGTTTAAAACCAACTCGCTTCAATATTTCATAGAAAGTTAAACAACAGGCCTCAGGACTTTTCACGAATCCCCACAGTTACTGTTGCTATGCCTGTCAAGCTCTGGATTCAGGAACGCCATAAAGGTTTAAGGTTTATTATGAGAGTTGACCACTAGGTGCTGCTACTTTGTATTGGTAATCGTGAAAAAGAAAAAAAACATTTATGTTAACACTGAAAGATCCAAACTTTCTACCATTGAGATTTCTACTGATTACATTTTAGACCCACCATCTTATCCAAATAGTTGTTTCTGGCTCCAAAAAAGCCCCGCTTGGTCATAGCTCAATGCTAACATGCTAAAATGCTAATATCGAATCTCTTCCCACTGCATTTTCACCCCCATTGACACGGAAGCAGCATTTTAGTTTAAAAAAGTTGTTCCTATTTGTTTTATATGGAACTGTAAGCTGGGAGATAAATTCAAGACCTGTATCTTATTTTAACGACAAAGTTTTTGTTAAAATAAGAAAGTTTCTCACGTTTAAATATTGAACGACAATAATATCTTTATTGTCTGATACTAAAATATACTAAACATGAATAAAATATTTCAAGACATTCTTTTACACTTTCATGTTAGTGACACTGTCACCACCTTCAGGCACTCGATCAGGTTTACAGCAATTTCATCTGTTCTGTTTTTTACAGTTTTTTCTACATTTTATTCAGATGCGGAAGAAGTTTGGAAATTTTTTATTTAGATAAAAGTGGAACCAGATGGAAATATACTTGTATAAAATTCTTCTAACATGATAATCATAAAAATAGTTTGAAGTCGAAGGACGTTTTGGACATTTTGTTTTGCTTCAACACTGACATGCTATTTCAAAATTTCTGAATCAAAAGTTACAGACTTTCCAAATGCACCACAATGTTGTGCATTAAGTTCAAAGCTTGGCAGGCATCTGGCTGCGGTCCGTTACACACTAACAGAGGTAGGGATGTGAATCACTTTAGAACTGCCCAGTTCTTATTTACACATACCAACTGTACCCTTTTCTACCTGCGATTTAGTCACAGTTGTAATTATTGCTGCTCTTGTATTTCTTTTAAATAGCTTTCTGCCTGTTTTCTTTAGGAGATGTTGTGTTTTGATTTTTGGCACATCACCCTTTGATTCCCAACAGCAGCTTTTATTCGATCTGCAGTGGGTATGTGTAAACCTTTTTCTTGTCCTCTTTTTAAGGTAATATTTCTAGTCTGACACAAACTTTTGACTATAAATCCCCATAAAAAGGAATCTCAAAGCTCCTTCCAAGTGCATATGAAGGTTTCTGTTCTTTCTTGAGATATCTGGGATTTATGATTTTCTTTCACACACACACCTTTCAGAAACCTTTTGACAGTGCTATTTTTCTATGTAATTGTGTTGTTGAGCGTGTTGCAATTTTCTCTGGCGGGTGTTTGAGGCCCACTCTTCACATGGAGGCAGCAACAATTTGCTGCTGTCGACAATGCGGGTAATACTGACAATAACGATAATAACAATAATGGACACAGCCTTGATATTTCTTCTTCAACTTTGTGGATTCTCAGCCAACTTCTCCTTGTCGTGATTGACTGTTATGAACTACAAGCGCAACTCCAGCCGGACTCCTCACCAGTATTGTGCGCAGTCCACAGCGTTGATGGCATATGTTGGTATTTTTTTCTCCCTTCAGACACAAATAAAGGCTAATCCCTATTCACTGACAAAGCTTCTCAAGTGTCTTAATGTGTGATCGGAAAGTGAGCTCAAACCTTGCGACAAAACTGCCCTGACTATTATAGACAGTGCGTGAACCAGGAAACTATTGAATGATCACTGACTTCATAGCAAAAAAATAATGACAAAGGAAAATCAGATGACTGGTGAACCTATGAAACACATTTCAGGTTTATGGTTGTGATTAAGTGTGTATCATAGTGCTAAAGTAGGACGACATCAGAAGTGGTGTTGCAGAACCAATTAATGTAAATGGATTTGAAGACCTTTTTCAAACAAAAAACTACGATAAGAAAGATTATTCACAAATGCTAAACAATTCAAACGTCTGCCAGTTTTCCTGCAGTTCTCCAGTTGGCTGCTAAAAGCTTTAAATCATGGGAGTACTTAGTTTTTCACAAACGGCTTTTCTGTTTTGTCTCCAGTTTTGATGGCAGGAATATGTTGCATGTTTATGGTCAGATCCTAATATATAAAGAGACTTATTTACACAAAAAATGGTCAGGGCATAGTGTAAAGACTAACACTGTGCTCACTCATGAACAAAGTGTTAATGATGTTTGTTAGAAATTATTGTTTTTGGCTTTTTTTTTTCTCTTTTTTTGCTGTTTCCAAATGTTTCAATTTATTTTAGAGAGTCACATATTCAGTTCTTTTGCCATCTACCACACAATATGTTTTTTTTTTTGCATCTTTATCTGAAATGCAGGGCTATCTCTGAGACACTTATTTGTTTTTGTGTTATGTAACGTTTCCTAAATTTATTGTTGAAAAGTAGGGTACTAGATTATAAAAAAAAGTGGGTTTTTTTTTAGGATTCAGCTAAATCTTCTCTGCTCCCTCTTTGATTTTTTTGGATCCACATCATGGAGTAAATGTTGCAGGTCGTATACATCAGCAGACCGTTGGGAGGCACTCAGAGCCTTCTGACAGAAGCTGCAGAGAATCTGCAGACACTATGTCTATTTGTTAGCTTTGTCTCCTCGCCTCAGTGCTGCCCAGCGTCTGCGCTTACATGGGTCCTTCTTCATTCGACACGTGTGTCTCTGTGCGGATGCATGCCCTAATGTGTGTTGCCATGGCTACCGCCATGAATTGTGGGTGTTTCTCAGTGAAACCCCTCCACTTAAGTTATGCAATGTACACCATTTCAAATCATTTGCCGTTTGTGTGTGTATGTGTGTGTGGGAGAGAGGATAGCGTCACCACCTGTATGTGGTGGGTTGTGTCAGCTGTTGGGTGATGTTGCTTTCACCAGCTCCCCCTCAGCATGTGGCCACCACCATCTGCCCAAACTGGTGTCGATATTCAGATCCAAATTAAGCTGAGCCGTCCTCCGTTTTCCCTGCATTGTTTAGCCTTATCTCACCGGGATTAGCCAGGGCTTCTACCTCTGCCCACTCAGCCGGAGACGGGGCTAAAAAGGCAGATTTTATATGACAAACCAGCACGAGTTGGCTTATAATTGCAAAGTGAAAGGAACATTATGTCTCGTTTCTAACATTTTTTTTACAAATGAAAATCCTAAACGTGTGCTGTGTATTTCAGGAAATTGCCTAGAAAAGTTTTTAAATTAGTTTATTTAAATATAAGTAGACTCACAATTTCCTTTTTCTTATAGGAATTAATGTAATGATGGACATGAAAGGAAATATCTATTAGCAAAGTGATTCCCAAGGAGGGTTAGCATGAAATAAATCATCAACTGAAAGAAAAGAAACAAACAAAAAACATCTTAAAGGCATGACTTTACAATTGACACATTTTTTTGTCATCCACTTGTTGACTTCTCCAGTTTTTAAGAAACACTGCAAAATATGCAGGCATGGTCAGGTCTGGATGTAGGGAAAATATCAGGCAGAGAGTTTACAACAAATACTGACTTTATAATATGTATTCTATGAAGGTATAAAAAGTGGAGTGAAACTGTAGTATGAAACAAAAACCAAGGTCTGCTAATGTATTCGTGTCCAGTATCTACACATTTTGTTCAATAAAATTAAACAATTTGAGTTTTTGAAATACATTGCTGTACTTTGACATGTTCAAGTATATGTATATATACATATATATCACCAGCTTTCCATAATCTAGGTAAGATCAAATTCTCAAACATAAGTAAAAGTATGAACAGCGGGGGGCAGCAGATTACCAAGGAGCTGTGGCTGTCAAACCACACACTCCATCAAACTAAAAATAGACACGCAG